AAGTCGAGCTCACGACTTTAAACCGAGCGCTTCGTGGGAGGCAACCCACGTTTTTATTTTTCTTGTTGTTTTCTTTTTTTCATTTTCTCTTTGGTTCCTTTCCTTTCTCTTCATTTAAAAAAAAAATCGAGAGCTCGTGCCGACCTGCTCGGAAATCCCGACTTGTTAGAGCTGATCCCGAAAAAAATGATGAGCGAAATCAAGTTTTTATAGTGTTTGTAAGTTGAGTCGAGAATTTTGAGCGAAAATTGTCAAAATATGGCTAAGTGTTGGATTTTTGCTAAGGAAATAGAATGATTCGAATTTTCGCATGCGAAACCCAATTCGCGCCCTGCAAATCCATAGTCGCGGCTCGCGAAAACCATTTCGCCGGCGAATACAAGATGGCTAATTTCAGCTCCAAAGTGTTGGCAAGCCCAAATCAAGTTCGCGCCCTGCCAAGTCCAACTCGCCCGCGAAATGCGCTCCGCGCCCGGCGACTTCATTTCCGCTCGCCGCGAGTGTCCCTTAGCCAGCGAATGAGCCTAACACACCAAGTTCAGCCCTACTTCGCTCGCTAGCCGAAGTCAGACTCGCCCCTTGCCAAACATAATTCGTGGGCGAGACAACTGTCGCGCCCTGCGAGAAGCCGCTCGCACGTCACCAATCCATTTTTGCCCGCGAATCCGCCCACATCCAACTTTCAGCTCCAAGTTGTTCGCTTGCCCAAATGACTTCCGCGCCCTGCCAACCTCAGCTCGCCAGCTGTCTTCTTCTCCACTCTTCCGGCGCCGCCACGCACCACCGCGAGCCACCGTCCGCCGCCACTTTCTCCGGCCAGCTTCCTCCGATCATGACATATTATATATCAACGCGAAGCTCTCGTCGACGCCAACAACATATCCGGAGCTCAAAGAAAAATTCCAGCGAGAAGGCTTCCGATTTTCCGGCGAAAGCTCGTAGATCTACAAATCACTTCAACCTTCAAATCCAAATTGCCGGCGACTCACTTGGACCCACCAAAATCCGAAGACACCCCCGGAATCCTCTCACTGAGGCGCACCTTTTCCGGCCACCGTCGACAGAATCCGGCGAACTTTTCCGGTGACAATTTTTTTCGGCGAATGAGCACCCACCGAGCTTCCGGTTAGTATTTTTGAGCTTTTCTTGTCATATACCATTGACTCCTATGGTTGGGTACATTTTTCGGTGACCGGAGCTCCACTTTCACCTATCTCTCTACTTATACACTCTGGCAACCGTTTTTCTCGATCTTTTTCAAGGTACAACGCCTCAAACTTGCTTTGTATTTTCATATTTTCATTGTTTTCGTTGTGCTTGATTACTACTCTTGTCGGAGTAGTCGTGATACATTATGTGGGTTAGACTTGTGTGATAGGCACGTCTTGCCGGGCGTGCCAATTTTCGTGTTGTTGTCGAATTTTTTAGTTTGTAGGTTTCTACTTACCGGTAATCGATTCGTGTGTTGATTCAAAAGATGAGTTGGTTGTGTTATGCTATGCAAGCATCATTGGGGACCTTGAGGCCCGATATTTTGAGCTTTCACGCATAAGTGCATTTTCGTTGAGTTTATGGGATCACGGTTATTATTTCTCCGAAATGCATACAAGTAGCCTTTATTCGGAGCCGAAGGACGGGACTCTCAAATACTTTGCATGTTATATGCCCGATATTTTGAGCTTTCATGTATACGTGTGTCTTTGTCGAGTTCATGGAAGCACGGGTATCATCTCTCCGAGACACATAAATGTGGCCCGTATGGTTTCATGTGTTCAATGCCCAACCGTTCGAATGGCTTCATTTTGAGCTCGATAGCTTTCGGATTATTTTCTCCATTCCCACCGGACGAACACCATTAGACACATGGTGGTGCACCACCGTGTAGAGTACGCATTTTCTTTTACTATTTTATTTTTCTTTAGTTGTTTCTTGTGTGTTCTTGTGTTTGTTTTCCTTTCGTGTGCTCATTTATTGAGTTTTGTTTTGTTTTTCGCATGAACTTGTGTGATTGTGTGCTCGATCCTATGCTTTTTGGTCAAGCAATGAGGACATTGCTTTGTTTTAAGTGTGGGGGAGGGATTTTCGTGATTACGCATGTTTAGGTGATATTTTCTTCGTTTTGGTGTCTTATTTTTCGTGTCGTGGACCGATTTTGTTTGAGTTTTTGTGTGTTTGTGTCATCTCTCCCGCATGAAGCTTGATGTTTGTACGAGAGTAAAGATAGCTAAGTGGTGAGTCGAGATTATTGATTGGTTTCACTATTAGTGTTCATGTTTGATGTATTTGATGAATTTGACGGTTTTCTTAAATTGATTAATGATTCGTTGACATTGGAACCCGCATGTGGATTCACGAAAATGTTTTGTCCCTTGCTTGTTCTCGATTGATTGTCTTGAGGCATGCTTTCTTTATGTTTGATTATCGTTGTAAACGTGTTATCTATACACTTGTGGTACATTTCGATTGAGTTGAGATGATTATGTTATTGTAATTGTGATGTATCCTTGTGTGTCACTCCCTTAAAAAAAAAAAGAATAAATTGTGAGTTCGCGAGGAAGTACGGATTAGGCTCCTCTTATTCTGAGCCATTCGTGGATTGGGATAATGAGCCTGAGAAACCAGTTTAGGAAACTCGGGGAAACCCCTCGAGGTTAAACCTAGATTATTTCGTCCGGAAACCTCGTTTGGAAAGAGAAGCTCACAAAATGAGTTCGTGAGAGTTGAAAGGATTAGGCTCCTCTTAGCTCGGTTAATCTTCTAGATATATTGGGTCAATGAGCACGGGAAATCGGCCTAGGAGACTTGGGGATAACCCCCGAGGTTAAACCTAGGTAATAATCGTCCTAACGGCTCTCATTTGGAAAAAGTGGCTCATTTAAAAAAAAAAGAAAAAAAAAGAGAAAAAGAAAAAGAATGGGAGTTGTCTTATGGGTTCTTGGTTATTATGTTACATATTTAGTGGACCATTTGTAGTTTTTGCACGTTCATGTAGAATAAGGGAGTTTTGTCTCGAGCTATCATGTGTAGAATGACTTGGGACAGGTTTTTGTTTCGTTTGGATTCACTTGTGGGAACTGTGTTTTCGGATTGGATTTTGATTTTGGGAATAATCGGATGATAATGAGAGTTTCATTTCGCATGCTCGTTAATTTTGGACTTCTCGATTTTTCTTTTCGAGCTACTTGTTGTTTTGTTTGCTTGAGGACAAGCAAAGAGTTAAGTGTGGGGGAGTTGTTTGTTATGTTTTTGTGGTAATTTATTGTTTTTTATGTGCTTGAGTCGAGTCATTATTAGGTTTGTTTGGGTGTCAACCGGTCTATTTTGTCGTATTTTATGTGTTTTCATTTGTGTTTTGTGTTTTTGTATTTTGTCGTATTTTCGCGTTTCTTTTGGTGTGAGGTTTAGGTCCAAATAGCAATTCCGGGAAGATGTGCCGTTGTGCCATTTTATGAGACATATCCGAGCCATTCGAGTAATTTTTGAGACACGAGGCTAACCCAGGGACAACAAACTCACTAACAAAACTCGCGACGAATTGTCTTTCGCACCGTGCTAAATGCCCAACACCCCAACTTCGGAACTCGCAACCAACATCAATCCGCGACGTGCGAGAAGGGCCATCAACATCCACGCCACTCGCTACGAAACACAACTCGCGCCCCGCGAAAACCACCAGCATAGCATCCCCATCACTCGCTGCCAAAGCCCTTCCGCTACCTGCCAAACAGCGCATCTCCAAGCACATCACTCGCAGCGAAATGGTTTTCGCACCCGGAGAAAAGCCCCCCCAGCAGCCCTTGGACACACTCGCTGCGAACTTCTTTTGGCGAGCTGCGAAATGCCATTTCCAGTTGATTTTCATGTGCACACTCGCTGCGAACCTATTTTGGCTACCTGCGAACTGTTGAATCATTAAATGTGTGTGCACCTAGTGTGTGTTTTTGGAGATGCACTATATATATGTTTTTTCCTTTGGTTTTTGGGGATCCAACTCTCATTTTTCACTTTTCCTCTTTGGGAAATTAGTTTATGTTTTATTTTTGCTCTCTAGATTAGGAGCTTATGCTATTTTCCGAGAGATTTTTCGGCGACTTCGGTTTCGTTCAAGTTTCGAGCTTTTGACTCCGTTTTTCATCGTCTACGCAATGGGAGATTGAGTATTTAATTTTAAAGCTCTTTACTTCGTTTTTGCTCCCGTTTTACTTATAATGTTCATTAGAGTAAATTGGATTTGACTGATGATGGTGGAAATGTTGGTGTTATATACTTAAGCTTTGCTTTTGTGGATATTACACTTGTTATTCCTTGATGAATGAGAATTATGTTTGGTTAAATAAGTTCCACGTTCTGTTGTTTTGCATGTAGATAAGTGGGTCGTCATCGGGCGTACCGAAGATCACTATATCAGTTACTTGCGAAACAAGAATCATTGGTTCACAACCTAGATGGAATTGAACAACCCATCGGAACGGTTGTAGTGTCAACCGTACGGTTTGTCTTGATCGATTATTTGCGCTAGTACATTTATGTATTGAAAAGGATCCCAGA